TGATTCACAGATCTTGCTTGCAGAAATCTAATATGTCCAGCCTCTCCCTCTAAAACAGAGCTTCGAAATACCTTGCTCCCCACTAAAGGAGACCTCCTAAGATGACTGGTACTTTTGGTAGAGCTCTCAACACAGYCGTTAGTTCACAGATGTTGGTTTAGTGCCTTTAAAAGAAACTGAGTTAGGCAACAACAAAAATAAGGAAAGATTTAAAATATTTTAACGCGGATGTGTTCTTTGATCCCGAGTATGTAACTGTAAATTTGTGAGTGCAGGAAGCAGYGGGGAAGAGAAGGGTCGGCTCAGCTGTTGGGAACTGCTGATACATGTCAGCTTCAAATGTCCACAGGGATATCAGTCAACCACTAAATGTGCCGGAGCTTCCAGGAGGAGTCTTGGCTTCTCCTGCTCCATTCCCAGTTATGAACTCCTGTCATTTCCTTTGTGACACTCTTGAAATATTGAAAAAAATGATGATAACAACATTATAATTTTCTGCCATTACTGTGCAAGGAAATAGGGCTGCTGTTCAGGTTATTAAAGCTATTTGCAGTTGCAGTTTAATGGGACAGATTTGCATCCTTTCTTACTCCATGATAAGAAGAGCTGTCCCAGGGACCCGGATCTTTCCCCAGAACTACTTCACTGTTGCTATATGATGCAGAACTGCCTTCCTGCCTTCCTGCACTCGCATCCTTGCCTCAAGACTGGCTTTCACTTGAAGGATTGGGTCAGCTCCGTCGCTCCATTTCCCACACTCCCTGTTTGACTCCTCTAAGCAGACTTGATCTCTTCTATATAATGGTTTCCCTATTACTTTTTTCCTTTTCTATCTTGTTTCTTTAGCAGAGAAGCTGGGATATGTTCCTCGTTCCTTGTATTCTTACCTAGAAATGTAGGTCCTGCCCTACAGTTACCCAATGAAAAGCAAATTCTCACTGGAAGGAGAGCCTGGCTGATGTGAACATGACRGGCAGTGCTCTGTAGGAGCCCCTTCCTCCATTCCTTCCTTCCTCTCCTGCCTCTTCCCTGTGCTGTTACCTTTCTGGTTCTGCACATGGGTACGTTACTGCGGAGCACCAAGTCGCTAGTTTCTCTCRTGCTGTGCAACATAGTCTGATAGCAACTGCCTGTTCCCGTGGCAGGTCTGCAGTCACCGGATCAGCAAGGGGACAGTGACCTTAAATCCTCAGTATTTCCAGGAGAAGGAATCTCCAAGCAGGGAAGTTGCTGCAGCAACGGGAAGAACCAGCAGCCACATGCATGACGCCGCAGAGCGCGGGTTGTGCAGACCTGCGTTATTCACCAAGGGCTTAACAGAGCTTGCTCTACAGGAATGGAAGCGACAATACTGCATGGAAAGCACGAAAAAAGAAAAAAAAATGTTAGAGGACAGTCAAGAGGCAGCCTGCACTATACACCAGGGGAAAAATGGACAGATAACTTGTTTAGTCAGTATTAAATCTTACAATTCACAGCCACAATAAGTGAAAGGGCACTGACTTAGGCCATGAGTTTGGTGAGCAAATGTGAGGGTCCCTTTCCTCTCTTCCCCGTGACCTTACAAAGAGTATTGGAATGGAGCAAATTAACAGGGACTCTTGACTGCAAAGGAGAAGCAAGCTACAAATTATTAGAAGAGAGCAGTTCTGGGGCAGCTTTTCTGCAGGAGCAGTGACTGAACAGGTCTCTGTGAGCTTTAGAGCTGAACGGAGGTCGCTGACTTCAGTGGCAAGATTTGATCCATTAGCGCGGGAGCTTCCTTCAGGCTCTAGACTAAAATCACTGTAGGAAATTCAGTAAGAATTTCGGTAGGAAATTCGGTACTGGTACGGGTTTCCTGACAGATGCCCCGTGATGTGACTGGACCAGTCTAATCAACGAGTGCTCTTGAAAAATAAGGTTTTTCTCCCTATTCACCGGCAGARCGGTTGGGAGCTTTCTGCCAGGTTGCTGTGTTGAGTGCCACACGGTGCACATGAGAAGGGCAGGAGTGTGTGGACAGGGAGAGAAGAACATCAAGGAGTTACAGAGCGTGGCYGGGAAGGGGCTTTGGGAGCACCTAGCGCAAACGCGACTGCTTCCAATGCCAGAGCACCCGTGGCTTTGTCCAGGCATGTCCTGGGCACCCCCAAAATCACGCTGGGGATCCCACACACCCCCTGGAGCCCTGCCCCAAGCTGAGCCTCCCAAGCCACTGCCCTCTTATCCCATCGGGCGCTTCCCCGTCTTGTAGCTGCCCTTCAAAGAGCTGCAGTTCACTGTGAGCTTGTCCCTCAGCCACCTCATTTCCAGAGAGCGCAGAGCAATGTCACTACACCCAGCTGGCGCTCCATCCTCTCCCACCTTTTCCACGGGTGGTAGACGGTGTCCTGGCAATGTGAGGGCCTGGGCTGTTCAGCACCCACAGCTTACTGCTGTCCGGCCCCACGGAGCCGAACACATTTGGCTTCTCCGCACAGCTGCCAATCCGTTATTGCCCCACGGCCAAGTGCCCCTCTCCYTCCCAAACTGTAGCCACAGCAATCAGGGCATAGGCTTTGTGAAAACAGATAGGAAACAGGACACTGAACTCCCCAGCCTTTTCCATATCACCATCCCTAACAAACCCATGATTTTCCCCGAACTTTCTCTTGCAATTGGCATCCTGGTATAATCCTTCATTGCTACATCTAAAGTCTCCAAGTAGTTTTGACTCCAGATGGGTCTTTGGCCTTCCTAATTTTCTCCCTACATGTCTGAGCACTGTTTTCAAATGCCTCCTTCCCTGCCTGTCCTTGATTTGACTTTCTGTATGCTCCTTTTTTGTATTTTAGATCACTGAGAAACTCTTTGTACAGAAAGGTGTTCTGCTTAAATTCTTGTTTTTCCTGCTGAACAGGGGGGCAGCCAGAGGGAGAATGGATAAAGAAAAAGAGGATCAACCTGTTTGGGAAAGGTGGTTCAGGTCTAGCATGAAAGTCCATGTTATGTGTTTCTGGGAAGAACGGCAAATATAAAAGGTAAAGACTTCTGAGCAGCAGCAGGCATTGTCAAATGAGAAAGAATGGCACAACTTTATGTTATCAGAAGGACTTAGATGAAAAGCWTTTGGGAGATAGGGTAGGATTTCAGATTCATGCTGGGAAAACAGAACAGCATGATGAACCGCAGAACAGAAAAGATGCTGCAGTTCTTTCAGATCTGAAATTAATAACATCAATGGAAGGGATAGGGTGCCATAAYAGTTTCAGCGGGAGAGATGTGCCTACAGTGTGGCAATACTCAGAAACAACTGATTTTCTGCATTTGTAGCTGCTATTTTCTGCATTTGGGAGCTGCTACCCACCTCCCCTCATCTGCGATGAGCACAGGCAGTACTTGCACAAGTGGCAGTAAAAGTGGCAGTACAAGTACTTCCCAAGGAAGGCCTCGGGAACACTTTAAATGAGGCAACACCTTGGACCAGGCGTTGTTAAACTGCAGGGTGCTGTTCACTGGGCCCTGAGGACCCTTTTTCTGTCATGGTCTTGCAGGCCGGTCACTYGATGCATCTTTAGGGCTGTGTGAAGTACATGCTTGTTAACTTGGCTAATGTCTCTGCCCTGATATCAGGTCCGGAAGTGCAGTGTCACCAACTGGTGTTTGCTTTTCAGTCAGCCCATGTTGAGGGGCTTGTAGGAGACTGGAGAAAAAAGAAAAAAAATGTTTTTGGTTTTTTTTTTTTTTGGTGCATGTGTGTCATGTCTTTTGGGCATGTGTCCCATGTCCAGTTCACCACCGCCAGCACTATCCGCGCCTGTGGGAAGCGGCTCCCAGGGACCCCGTGGACTCCCGTGCTCCCTCTCAGCACCGCAGGGCTGAGGCCCTCTCATCATCAGACACCAGCAACACTCGGCATTTCACCGGCTCTCACTGCCCTTGGCGCTCAGCTTTGGCCACCACCCCAGTGCTCCTCCGCACGCTCCATGCTACTGCAGAGGYCTTGGGTGCGCTCAGAGGGGCGCCCTGGCTGATAAGCTGCACCCAGAGTGACTGTTAAGCTTGGCCTTGCCTGACCACCTCTGCTCTGTCTCCACCAACCCACTGCTCCAGCAGTCCCAGAGCGAGGGGAGCGAGTTGGTGCTCGGGAGCGGGGCTCAGCAGCGTCCTGCTGCTGTGTCCCTGCAGCATGAGGCCCAGCAGGAACCCCTGCCCGGGATGCCCTCCATCTGAGCGGCGTCTGCACGGCCGGAGCCAGGCCCGGACCCTGATCGAGGCCGCAGCTGGGTGTCGGTTGGGCCCGGCGCCGCACCCAGGGGAGCCCATAGGGCCGGGCTGGCCCCGCGGCCGCGGTTGGTCGGCGCCACAGCGCCGGTCCGGCCCCGCGGGACCGGCCCCCGGGCCCCGCTCCGCTCCG